TGGTCCCAACGGAATGCAAAAAATATATATAGTCCCACAACTTTTAAAAAACAATCAAAAGTAGGACTTTTTGCCGGATTTTACTATTTTCAACCGGGAATGCCACGTGGCGCACACGTGGCATATATTTTTTACACGCTGGCATCCGACGTGGATATAAAAAAATCAAATCTAGTCCCACAGGTATATGGAGGTGACATTTTTTGTCCCACAGGTATAGGAAGGTGACATTTTTGGTCCCACGAGTATGCATAAAATATGCAACAAAATATGCCACGTGTGCGCCACGTGGCATTCTCGGCCCGAAACAGTAAAATCCGACAAAAAGTCCTACTTTTGATCATTTTTTAAAAGTTGTGGGACTATTTATTTTTATTTTTTTTTTGCATTCCGTTGGGACCAAAATTGTCACCCCTATACCTGTGGGACTAGTTTTGAATTTTTCCCAAGTTTCTTTCATTGCCAGGTCTTCAAGATCTCCCAATCGCCTTTAACTTTAGAAGGTCCAAAGTCATGTAGAAACATGACTTGTTTCATATGTGGTATCTAGCATATTTTGTTCCAGCTGGTTTGAATCTGTATGATCCTCTTTTCTTATGTGTGCATGCCACATCCGATCTCCAATCCTGCGTCCTAAGCTCTACTCCACGTGTTCCTACAACAAATAAGGAAACAAACCTAAATATATCCAACTAAATAACAAATAAATAAATGCATAAAGAACTTAATAAATTGTAAATTTTTCTTTTATTTTGTCTTTTCCAAGTGACCTACAAGGAATATAGTTAAAAATAACAAGATTATTCGTATTATTGAATTCATATATTCTAACACTCTGCGATCTCGAGTGCTTGCAAGCTGTCACTCGCGGCACGTGTGGGTGAGGTTGGATACATCTTTCAATGACACTTGCATGCAAACAAAAGGGCATCCGTGGGCGAGTTGGCGAGGTGTTGTGGGCGGTGCTCATGTGTGAGCGATAGGGCATTTGCAGACGAGTTTCTCGAGGCGCTGCGAGTGATCATGTCAACGGGTACATAGGTTTCTTGGCAACGTGCGTGCGACTCTTGAAGATGACACTACCTTGGCAATATTCGACAATTTCTTCGGCAACGACTCGTGTTTCATTGGACAATGGTAGAAATTTCTCGAGTAATATTCTTCGTACTTGAAATCAAACAAGGAACTATGGCGACACGCTCATAGGTGGACGAAAATGGTAAATGTTCGACTATGACTCTTTTGCTTGGAACTCGGGACAATTTTCTTTCTTTTCGAACCTACAAAACTCCAGAAAGTACGAAGAAAAACAAAAAATATGAAAACATAAACCTAAAAACGACAAATGATGAAAACAAACAAAATGAACCTGGTCGACACAAATAAAACTAAAAGTTGACTCAACTCACCACAAAAATCAAATAAAAATAAGCACAAAAAACAAACAATACAAGCTCGAGCTAGGTCAGTTGTTTTACACTCTGTAGGTCACCACAAACTAATGGAAGTGAGTGTTATATTAGTGTTGATTTACTATACATTAATTCTATCTACATTTATGTATTGATCGTAGATATATGTGCAAAGGACAACATACTGATTGTTGAGGTGATATTAGAAACTTGAAATGTCAATCCATTATAAATTGGATATCCGTCCTTATTCACGTGTTTTTGCAAAATGCACCTGGAAAACGATTTTACATTACCCATTCAACATGAAAGAATCCTACTAATTCTTTTCTCCATATGAACCATGCATCATATGCTTCTACTGACAGTTCGCGAACTTCTCTACAAGAGCCAGATGTTCTTTTTCGAACAATCTTCGTCGATAGAGAACAATATCTCATACGTGGAGTTTGAAATGTATCTATGTTTAAAAATAACACGACTGTAGAATTGAAATTTGTGAGTGACGATTGAAGAACGAATGGATCATGAATATGCTCCTCCAACTATGAAACTCTTCAATACCTATCAGAATTGTAACAAACCAATTAACAAATTCACCTATCATCCCGGCATAACGATAAAAAAATCTAAAAAGTGATAAATTTAATTCCAAATAATTAAAGAGTTATGACACGAATTATGAGGATTTTGATCCATACATAACTTGATTAACTTTCCTTATTCATGAAAATATTCAATCATATTGTAAGTCTATCCCACAAATTATGTGGTATCTCAACAATGCTATTCCACCATTTGAATTAGCACATAAATTCTCTTATGTGAATCACTTTTAATTCAATAGTAAATCAAAATTAATTATCTTCTTGAAGTTGAGATGTTTAGTATTCAAAAACTCATCATGAATTTAAACTTCAAATAATCTCAAGGTAATTCATCCATTCTTCACAACATAAGTATGTGGCCATTTCTATACTTTATAAGAAGTTGATATTATAATAAAATAAAAATTTCTCCAAAATTCTTATCATCTCATTGGTGTAGAATAATTTCCCACATACAAACATGTTACGATAATTAATTTCACAAAATCATCATCTCCTTATCTTTTAGCAAAGCAAAAGTATGAAAACTAACCATATATTTATAATTCAGAATCAGAAAATACATGTTGTGGCCGAACACCTCATTCAATTTCACAATATCAATAACATGTCATAAATGATAAATCTAATAAGTAATAACTTCGTACAAACTCAGAATATTTAACAAAATCAAACCAAATTAATGTCAAAATTGATTTTTTTTTTTTTTTTTTTTTTTTTTTTTTTTTTTTTTTGGTACAAACGAAGGAGACCAGAGGCTAAAAGTAACTAGACTAACACTCGGTGAGGGTAAGACACCCCGCTAGTGTCATGATCAAGCCAAGCTCCTAGGCCCGGGAGGGGTGATGAAAGACGTTGCAATCCTAACCACATATTATGAGATGACCACACCACATATTATTATATTTGAACTTATTTATTAATATAAATGCACTTGATAGTTGAAAATTATACGTACAACATACATTTACAAAACAAATCAGTACGCTAATCCGTGCGATGCACGAGATAATAATTATAAATTGCATGTATTAAACCATTGAAGAAATATTAATTATTATAAAAAGAGTTTTGAATATTAACATTAATTTTTTATCTTATTTTATGATATATAATAATGTAATATATGATTTATATGCTTATTTTCACTTGTTATAAAATAGTTTTCATCTTATTAGAGTTCCTTTTTTTATAATTAAGGGTAATGAAAATTTAAAATATTAAATCATTATCAATAAATAACGCTTACATAATATTTATCTCTCTCTATCTTCTGTTACTCATACCTTATTACAATATATTATTTAATTTTTAAATAAGTTATGCTAAAGTTGAAAAACTGTGGCAAATACTATAATCAACGCATAATTGAAAAAGATTGTATTTTTTTTATTTTGAAGTTAAAATTTTTATTATTATTTAATTACATCAATATTATTTTATTTCATTCTTATAATTATAATAATGTATATTATAAATATTTCAATTTTTATATATTAATTTATATGATTTATATTATTATATTGTTAATCGCAATATGAATCTTAAAAACTACCTTGGTGCAATTATTGGTAAAATCAAAGAATATTTTTGAAATCCTTAAATAGATGATTTTTTAGTTGTTGAGATGTTAATTCTATTGTAGTATTGTGGTAGTTATATCAATAATATTGTTGCTACTAATTTCTAAGTTTATTTTGTACTTATAATTTAATAATGTTCTCACACATATCTCGGTCTACATATGGCTGAATGACCAACAAAAAAAGAGAACGCAGGCCGATTGACCAACAAGAAAGGGGAACGCGTGATTTGTTATTAAGGATAAATATTAATTTATTACAAATGATAAATAGTTAAGTTTCTGTTCATAGTGCAAAATTGCGTTTAAAATTTTTTTAAAAACTGAATTGATTGAGTTATTGATAACTCAAAGGATTATAAATTAATCCTCTTGATTAAATAATTTTTTGAAGATATGATAAAAAAATATTTTGGTATATGGTTGGTTAAAAAATGAAAAAAGAAATCACTGTAATTTGTTATTAATGTTGATAAATAAGATTCTATTGTAACTTTGTAATAAGTATCACAATAAATTTCTATAATTAATTTTTATTTTTTATTTTGTAATTATATTTATAATTTTATCGTGCATATTAAAATAATAGTTTTGAAAAACAAAACCTATTCAATATTAACCGAATTGTATGATTTATAACGACTATGTATAATTTTTTTTAATATTAAAGTAACCTTTACTATATTTCTTTTAATAATAAGTCAACTCGTTTAATTTCAAAGTCAAAATTTCTATTTCACATTGTTCCATCAATCTCTTTCAATATATAATTATATATAGATATCCATGGCATATGTACACAAATTTTTCAGTCATAGAAATAACCTAAAACAGAAATCATGAACTATGAATGTATTTGTTTTGAATTTCTAAACACTTTTTAAGATTTTAGAATTTCTGACGTATTTAATTTAAATTTTTTAAGACTTTCATAAGTGTCTGAAGTATTTATTTAAGATTTTTAAAAGTCTTACAAATCATATTTTATATTTGAAACTAGAATTAATTAATAATTTTTAAATTTTGTTGTGATTTCAAAAGAAAAACCCATATACAAAATCTCACCCATCTCACCTCCAGAACTAAGTCCGGCTAAATTAGAAAATAATAAAAAGCCTCGAATCTCATAAAATCTCAAAATGTCGCTCAAAATCTCAAACGAAAAAAAATGTTTACTATATGTCACGCATGGATTTACATATAATCTCGTAGCAGAGACTAATCATCAAACTAATTTATAATTGCAGATAAAATTTACACATAGTTTTAAGACGAACTGGGCGCTACTGTGCTCACATTCTCAGCAAACATGTTATTTATGCAAAATGAGATGAATATGAATTATGAAATATATTTTATTTGATGTGTAATTTGTATTTCTTGTGGTGTAATCCATCATCAGCCCTTGGCTATGTGCAACTCCATCCTCCCCTCCATCTCCGGCGTAATCACGCAAAGATCCCTAAGCTCGTCGGCCATCCCCTCGAAAACCCGCCACCACATCCTATGCGCCTTATCGCTCGCAAAGCGCCTATTCTCCGGCACGTCCCAGTTGCAGTCACGCTCCTTCCCTCTACACATCCACGGCTTAAATCCCAAGTAATGCAGCGCGTACACGTCATCCGGTATCTCCTCGTGCGTCCCCTCGTCCGGCCCGAAATCCTTGAGAAAATTCACCTTGGCCGGCCACCTGTGCCACCACGTCACCACCTCGTTCAGAAACCCCTGGTCCCCGCCGTTGTACGACGCCACCTCAGCACGCTGCCTCATGAAGGCCCGGAAAGTGCAGACCGAGGGCTCCACCAGCATGAAGCCCGAGTTGAAGAGGTGGCGGCTGTTGCCCGCAGCCGACAGCTGGGGGTGGGCGAAGAACTTGTCCGTGTTTTTTAAGATTAAAAAGTCGGAGTCAATGAATATGAGCTTGTCGTAGTCTGTGAGCTGCCATATTCGGAGCTTGCTGTAGTTCCACTCGTTGTAGGTCTCGGTTTGGGTGTGGGGGTTGCGGATTCTCTTGATGTGCCGGATTTTCCAGCCGGCGGCACGGAGGCCGAGCCGGGATTTGGGGGTTATGGAGTGGTCGGCTAGGAGGACGAGGTCTCGTGTGGAGTTGGAGTTGAGGATGCTTTGGGCGAGGGCGAGGGCGCCGCACACGTAGTCCTCGGACGAGTGGAGTACCGTGACATAAGCTTCTCTTCTTGCTCGGTTATTCACTTTTTGCTCCGGAAATGCAGGAGCAAGTTGGCATGAACCCACAGGCATGCGAAGCTTCTGCTTCAACCTCCCTAAATCAGGCTTGTAAATCCAATAATCCCCTTCATGCCATATTAGGTCATCACACCTAAAAATCTCCGACATCGGGCCACACGACCCCACGAACACGGCCCACATCCGCCTCCCGCTTTTAACCAACATGTTAGCGACCACCAAATTTATTTGCAACCTAAGAACGTGGCCAAAATCTCTCCCAATACGCGTTTTTACTGTTTCCCCACACGGGGCTTCGGCCATCACCACATCCAGATCAATATTGTAATCTTCGAACTCCGGCATTGGAATGTGAGGGCACTGATCGGGTGAGTCCCAAGGCAGGCTCTCATCAATCCACTCCGGGAATAAGTCGGCCCACCTGACGTCCCTAGAGACTCGCTGGACTTGTATATCTATCATCTCAATCGTGTCCCCATACAAGTACTCGCGGTTTTCAAATGCTGATGATGTGTTTGTGAGACGAATTCGGCCCACCTTCAGTTTTTTTCTGCCGTTTGTCCTTCTCGCAATGACTTGGTACCACCCGGGGGTTTTAGCCGATGATCTCCTAGAGAGATGTTTTTGTAAAGACTCGTGATGAGCTGATCGGTTTTCTTCAGGGTCATGAAGCTTGTCATTGTGTAGTGTAGTGAGGAAAAGGAGGGTGAGGGAGAATGTGATGAGAGAAAAGCTAAAGAGGTTTGTTGTTATCATTGGTGTGTGTTGTTTGTGTAATCTGATCTTGTCTTTTGCAAAAGGCCTTAAGGGCATATTTGTGCAGAAAGAAAAACTATCAACTAATACTCATATGTTTGCTTAGATGTTTTTATCCAAGAAGTGTTTTAAATGCTAAAGATTTCTTGCACCTGCAGAAGGAAAGTAGAATTGATCTTGAAATAAAGGAAGGGAATTTGAGGAATGCACATTGTCCATTGTCCATATATATATATGTAAACAATGTGTAAAATAAATGTACATGTGAACATTCCGAAATTCTATGAACCCATCAGATGACTCTTTACGTACTGACACATAGTCCAATGTGCATTTATTGCAGGACCCGTGTCAATACATCATTGTGAATAACAATGGATGACTCCATAAACCGAGCCGTCCGATGGCTCCATAGCAAAAACATGTGATTATTAGTGGTAATATATATCAAGCAAATATCAGGTGAGATCATGTGCATGGTTTTTTGAGAAAAAATCATTAACATTCCATAATCCAAGTGTCTCACATAAGGAAACATATAAAAAAAAAAAAAAACATAGTGAAAATTAGAACTGTGAAGAAACTTTCTCCACTTAGGAAAGAAGCACTAATGGTGGTAACAAATATAACACGAACGTTTAGAACGAACAGATAAATCTCAGTGGCATTTGATCTCAAAGACATCAATTTGTAAAAACTGAAGTGCAGTTTACGATGACCATGTATATCAATAATAGAAGTGTAGTTTACGATGACCATGTATATCAGTCATCATAGCCACTTCGGATATTCGTCCTCAGTCGATGATGCATACGGGACTGGAATCCAAATCATGGTTATCACTCATCATATGCATATTCGTCGTAGCCACTTAGGATGAAAATATTCATCCTCGGTCACATGATGCATACTGGACTAGAATCGAAATCATGAAGATGATATCAGTAAAAAAAACCAAAGCGAGAGTTCCCTATGTGAAATCGAAATCTGAATTAGTCTATGATTCTTAGTTCATGCACATAAAACAGTAGATTAACGAATTCCATTTGTTTCAAGCGTAAAATGTTTGCACAAATACGAATGTGAACAATTGGTTAGTCTTCAAGTTAATGCGAGAAGCCACTGATCGAATGACTGAAAAAGGATTAATGGATAATGACACGATTAGGGAGGACAAGTCCTCAATACATATGAAACTTGGCCTTGGTTTTCTCGAACACTTGCTCTGCAATCACGGCCTCGTTGCCGTCAGCTCTTTTGATTTCTAAATTAGCCTTTTGGTAGAAACCGGTTCCTCTAAGTGCATCAGCAATGAAGTCATCAAAACCGATAGCAATTGCAGCTTCTGCTTTAGCTCCATAAACCAATCTCTGGAAGAAATTGGGGGGTTTATCGTAAGTTTAGGATTAACGGAAAAACTGGGAAAAGAATAATGTTCGACATAGAAAATGAACTTGAGCACTCGACCTTGATTCTTGAAAGATGGATGGCACCAAAGCACATAGGGCATGGCTCGCAAGAAGCATAAATCTCGCAGTCCGAGAGCTCCAGCCTGTTGAGCTTCTTGCAGGCCTGAAAAATATGCACCAGCTTGAGAAGCTTGACCAATTATGGCAAGTGAAACCAAATTTAATGGACCAGATAATGTTCACAAATAAATTCCAAGTTTGAACAAGATGGCAACTGCATAGCATGATGAAAGGATTTCATAACTAAATATAAGAATTTTATGAGGTACTGTTATGATACTGAGCAAAAATATGAATAAAATTAAAACGATATTCTTCTGAACTGCAGGGGGGACAGGAAAACATCCTCAAGGCCATCCTATGTAAGCCCATAGCAAAAATAATTATTCTGAAGCTGAATTCCTATAACTATGTCATATTGAATTTTCTTCTGACAATTTCCTATGACTAACACAGTTGAGTCTAGCAATCCAGAAAACCGTGCAGTCCAAAGTTACTACATAAACCTGGCAATCACAAGAACTATAGATCTCAGAGATCAAAGTGGTTATCAATGTGAAATGTGAATCATTGCCGTCGATATATATAAGGAGAATATGCACACAATGAAACAAACTATAATATAATTGAATAACTGTAATAACTATAAAACAAGAAGGTGGGGGACTTTTTCTCTCCTTCTTTTGTTTTTATCTTTTCTATTCATTAATAGTGAGATCTTTCATTCTATTTGAATACTCCTTCCTCTAGTAATCTTCATAATCTTCTTGAGGGGATACTTGGGACAAGAATGTATCAATGTGCCACATATGAATGGGGTGATTGGATATCTCACTGGAGAAGATTGCTCAAAAAGTACACTATTCACTCATGTCAGTTTTTTCTCCTCAATTTCAGCAATATAATTTTTAAATAAAAATCAATCATCACTACGTCTTTGCAAAAAAGTTACTATTAATCTACTCACATATTTATGATTACCATTCATTATTTTATTGTTTTCATATGACATCAACTTTAGTTTTTATATTTATATCTCACATCAATCTCACTTTCAAAAATCTCCTCAAAATATTACCTAAAAAAATGACAAGGGCCCAGCAAAAATTACTTAGTTTTCAAAAACCCGTAATAAGTTCTATCCAGATATGTTCTGATCGCCAACTCAGTTCATGTTATCCTATATAGCCGACATTCCAGATTATTCCATAGGACACATCCCTTTAGTCGTATGCTTAGTTTTTAGTTAATCAGAAACTTTTGGCAGCACACATTTTCATTTCACACATCCAATTTTCTAACGGTGCCGTTCTAACCTCTCTTATTGCTGTAACCTCAGCATGAGCAGTAGGGTCTGTCTGCTTGAGAACCAGATTGTGACAGCTTACAACGACTTCATCATTGAGCACCACAACAGCACCAAAAGGACCTCCATCTCCACATTCTACACCTCTGTAAGCTTCTTCAACAGCTCTTGTTAAGAATTTGTGATCTCTATCCTGAACAGCTGTGAGAATAAAACAATATAGTTAATATTGCTCGATCAACTAGTGTCTTGCTTCCAGAAACCATCTAAGGAAAAAGGCCAAACAAAAGAATGATGGACATAAGCAGTACTAAAGGCATGATAAGCTATATCTTCAAACAAGTTAGTTTTGTAACCAAAGCCTCTACATGACAACTGTAAATAACTTGTATGAAGAAGTCCATTGGTGTAATATAAAAACATTGAGGCCCGTAGGCACAAGCTCTTTTGAAAATCAAAACATTTTTAGGCTTATATCATTGACCTACTGTGTACCAGCGACAAAGTCAACTAAAATATACCTCCATGTACAATATTCATTTATGGATTCTACTTCATGATCATCTAAGATCTATCTTAATCTATCTCAAAGTCTGAGTGATTTAACTTTCTTCACCAATAATAATAATAATAATAAAACTACGACTGGACCTAATTTCTTCAAAGTGTGCTTATTATAAACCTTCTATCAGTAATCAGCTTTAACTGTGGTCTCGATGACCGGATATAAATATAGTGGCACCTGTAAGTAGATCAGGTCAAAAAAATTTCTGTTCAATTAGATTATAAATACTTTCAATTTTGGTGCTAGAAATTACCATACCAAAACCAGAGGAAAAAGAATAAGAAAAGAAAAGAGGAACAACATTACCTTCTTGATGACCAGCAAATGCAGAAGCAACAGAAATAGTTCCATCTTTGGCTTCAACAACTAATAAAATACGAGAAGGCAGTCATAAACTGGCAATAAGCAGGAACGCAAAATCCAAGGCACATGGAATCATTTTAAAATGGCAGCTATTATCCAACATTCAAGCACCATCAAAATAAAGCAATGAAAATGTGAGTATCACCATAATCAGGCAATAGTTAGTCACGCAGATGTTGATTGGGAAATGTGAGAACCAGCAAAGAGTGCGGTTTGTGTTCTGGACACCCCCACACCCAACTAAATTCTATATGACACAAATTGAAGTAGTTGACTGCTATAAATATTATTCTACATAAATTGTATGATAAATGATTATTTACAGAAAAATACGAAGTAAAACCCAGACAAATTAAACAATCTACAAGAAGCGAATATTTAAGTATAACGAATAACAATAACAAAGACATAAAAAACAAAACACATAATTTTTCCATTTCTTTTCCTATCAGCTCATAATATTATTTCTGCTTATCTACGTTATTAGGTTATACCTCTGGCCTCGGTGATGCACACACACATATGTGTGTGTGTGTGTGCATTACTTGCAAGCAACATCTACTAATTAGCATCACATTTGCAAGTAAAGCAAATTTTGTGCTCCAATTTCAAGTAAAAGAAATGAGGAATTGTTACTACCTTCTTGATGACCAGAAAATGCAGACGCAACCGGTACAGTTCCATCTGTAGCTTCAACACCTATAAATGATGAAGGTCGTCAAAAACAGCATTCAATTGAACACTAAACACTTGTGGTGCTACCTCTACACAATGACAGAGCTAAATGAGTGCCCAATCACATCCAGTATATGGCAGGCATAAAAAAACCCGTAAAAAATATACATTCAAATCCCCTATGGAATGTTTTTTACACTTCACACATGAAAGAAACTTATGCCAAGTGAACTCTAGAGGGATATTAAGGCAGAACCTGAATAACTTTAGCACATGACAGCAACAAAGTATAAAACAGTGCAAAAGTTGAACTACCAATCGTATATGGAAAACACACTGATCAAAATGAGCTACTGGGATCGAAATGAGAAAGAAATTGCTGTGATCAAATCAATTACACAACATCCATCACATCCACCAACGAACATGAATCAATACATTGATCCCAAAAAGTCCATATTCCATCCGTAATGAGTCCGATCGTCCAAACCTCCTCAACTTGCTGCATAACCAGTTAATAACCAACAGGACAAGACTTATCACATCACAAACCAAACATTCCCAGGGTTCTAAACATCTCCACACACTATATGGTGGACATCAGAAACTTAACCATGTCTTCGACTGCAATAACCAACGAGAAATTTTCATAGAATTAAATTAAAACACACACACAGAGGCACACACACACACGCACACACACACACACACACACACACACACAAAGAGCCAAGCGAAATTGCATGCACAGTTAGATACAACATAAACGGAACAGGATTCTTGAATTTTGCTCCACCGTCGCCCACAATCAATCAAAACGCAGGCAATTAACCACACCAAGGACAAGCAAATTAAAAAACAACGAAAAAAACCAACAGAATACAAATAAAATCTACAGACAAATAATCATTTGAGGATAAGAAGAGAGATGCGGTTCACCTTGAGTTCCTTCCATGGCGAACACACAAGCGAAATGGATCGACGGTGAAAATGATCTGCGAGACCGGAAAAGATGGAGAAAGTTACTTTTGTTGTGACTGTGTTGATTCGCTCTGCCAGCGTACTCTGTGCTGTTATTTATATATGCAGCGGTGGCATTGCATTCACAGTAGGCAAAGTCCAAATTGAATACAGTGCTCTAAAACTCCCATGAAAATGTTTTAAGGGAATTTCTTTTGGTATTTAGCGGTCCACTAAATATTTCAAAATGAATTTGGTGAATTCTTATAAATTTCATGAATTTTTTAATAAAATGTAACAGAAATCACTATAAGTAGAGAATCTTTATAATATTTTTGTATAGAATTCCGAGTATTTACAGCATATGATATTATGCAAAATACAGACAGAATTTACCATAAAAAGGATTGGATTTTTTTTATTTTTTATTTTTATTAACCTCACAAAGTATGGCAAAATTAAGAGTTTGACTTACGAACCTTTTTTTTTTTTT